TTTTCCTGTAGTGGCAAAATAACTTCTCCAGTTGTGCAGCAAAACTGAGTGACCTAACATGTCCTAGTGCAGACAGATAGGTGTCTGTCCTATTTCTGGACAATTGTTGAAGTGGTTTCCTCTGATTTCTGTAACTGCAGGAGGGTCTTCTTTCTTTACGACAGAGACACTGTAACAAGTCAACAGCACAGAGAAAGGAGGTGGAAGAGAGAATGATGGTCACAAGTTGTGGTTGTTTCCATTTTAACTTTTGCTTTTCTGCCATTGTCTTGAGGATACATGATTATAGCAGAGCCCTCACATCTCCTCCAAGGAAACTTTTCTTTCAGTAAGATAAAGGCAACTTTCCTCTATGGAAAAGTCTTTAGCGGATTTCAGCTCCCTCCACTCCTGTTCAATTTTCATTGCCACCTGCACTAGGAGTTTGGGATGGGTGCCCAAGGACAAAACTGTTTAAGGATGAAGATTGTGCCATTGGAGACTCCTATTGTCCCTTTTCTGTCCTGCTTTTATGTTTGGTGGCATGCCTTTTAATCACTTTTTGATGTTCTCATCTTAAGGCCTTCATGCTTACGTCTCTTATGTAGTTTTTCAATATCCCCTTCATAGGTCATCCATTCAGACTGAAGTAATGGATGACCACTAGATTGAAATGTTATCCCCCCAAAAGTTCACTTAAATAAGCATTAGGTTATAAGGGTCCCCATAATAGTATTTCAGATATAATCCAAAGTAAGTACCTGAGGAGTGGGTACAAATAATTTAAAAAATACAAGTGCCTTCTTTTGCACATTTGGCTATTTAGGAGTAAATGGGGGTGGTGAAGAATTGGGATGGTTACAGTATGGAAGCCTAAATTATTTTTATTCCTAAAAAATGTAACCTAAATATCTAGTAGATCCTCAGCTTGTGCTCCCTCCTCCTTCAGTTCCTTCCCTGTCCTCCCTGCATACATAGATAACTTGAAAGAAAAAAAATATACCAAATCCTGATTTGTGATAAGTTGCATTAGCCATGGTCATTTTTTTCAGCAATTATAGCAATTTTCTTTTATTTACTGGAGTCTGACCTCAGCTGTGTTGATGAATTGCACTTTTTCAAGGTCTATTTTCCCATCAGTAAAGTCAGGTTGTTTGTAAAAAGATTGGCATAAAATGTTGCTCTCCCCCCCACCTGTTCCCCCACCCCCATATTTTAAAAATTGCGTCCCAAGTCTGAAGAAATTTACTGGGAATTTATGGAGCTGACACATCTCTCTCTGATTGTATATTTTTACACAGAACTTTAAATAACCCAAGACTATAAGGATAGTCTCTTCAACACAAAAATCCGAAAAATAAGCAGCATTTAGCATCTTGCACCTCTGTCTCCTTCTGCTTCCGAGTCCTTAGAGATTTTCTGGGTGAAATCTGCATCCCATTATCTTTTCAATCTTCCATCTAATTGTTGCTTTCCAAGGTGACATTGTCAGGAAGTCACAGTGGGAAGTTTGAGATGAAGGAGGGGACTTGCCCCCTCCCCATGTCACCAGTGACTTCTGCTGACCCTCCTTCCTCGAAGTCCTCCCCTTCTCTCCATCTCTCCTGGTACCGTCCTAGTCCAGGCTTTTATACACTCTCTCCTGGGTGACTGCAGTAGCCTCCACACTCCCGGGTCTCTCTGGCCCCAGCTCTAAATACCATTCCTTGCCACTTATCCTCCACACAGCTGTCAGAGTGAAGTTTCAGAACCACAGATGGAATGTGCCATTGCTGGGCTTAAACCCTCCAGTGGGGCCCCTTCACCATCATCAACACCTCACCTCTTCAGGATGGCTTGCAGGGGCTCAGGTGACTTGAATCTGTAACCCTCCAACTGTCCACATCACAGCCCACCTGTTCCATCCTGCCTCTCAGCCTCTATTTCAGGGACTCAGAGCTGGCTTTTGTCATAACTGCCCTCCTCCTCTTTCTTTTTTTTTATTTTAATTTAATTTTTTATTATTTTTCAATTACACTTTTCTGTCTTTTATTCCCATCCCAGCCCACCCCCCTGTGCCCCCCACCTCCCTCCCATTTCCACCCCCCTCAGTTGTTGTCCATGTGTCCTTTATACTAGTTCCTGTAAATCCTTCCCATTTTTCCCCTGAAATTCCCTCCCCTCTCCCCTCCTGTCACTGTACCCTTGTTCTCTATTTCAGTGTTGTTGTTTTTGTTTTGCTTGTTTGTTTTGTTGTTTAGCTTCCTGTTAAAGGTGAGATTATATGGTATTTGTCTTTCACCGCATGGCTTATTTCACTCAGCATAATGCTTTCCAGTTCCATTCAAGCTGTTGCAAAGGGTAGGAGCTCCTTTTTTTCTTTCTGCTGCATAGAATTCCATTGTGTATATGTACCACAATTTTTTGGTCCATTCATTTACTGACGGACACCTAGGTTGCTTCCAGCTCTTGGCTATTGTAAATTGTGCTGCTATGAACATTGGGGTGCATAGGTTCTTTTGGATTGGTGTTTTAGGGTTCTTAGGCTATAGTCCCAGCAATGGAATTGCTGGGTCATAAGGCAGGTCCATTTTTATTTTTCTTAGAAAATTCCATACTGTTTTCCATAATGGTTGTACCAGTCTGCATTCCCACCAGCAGTGAACTAGGGACCCCTTTTCCCCACAACCTCTCCAACATTTGTTGTTTGTTGCTTTGTTTATGATAGCCATCCTGACTGGTGTAAAGTGGTATCTCATTGTGGTTTTAATTTGCATCTCTCTGATAGCTAGTGATATTGAGCACATTTTCTTGTGTCTCTGGATGTTCTGTATGTCCTCCTTGGAGAAGTGTCTGTTCAAGTCCTTTGCCCATTTTTTAATTGGGTTATTTGTCTTCTTAGAGTGGAGTCATGTAAGTTCTTTGTATATTTTGGAGATTAAACCCTTGTCTGAGGTATCATTGGCAATTATGTTTTCCCATACAGTTGGTTGTCTTTTCATTTTAATACTATTTTCTTTAGCCATGCAGAAGCTTTTTATTTTGATGAGATCCATTTGTTTATTCTTTCCTTTATGTCCCTTGCTCTAGGGGAACATATCAGTAAAAAAGTTGCTGCGTGAGATATCTGAGATTTTCTTGCCAATGTTCTCCTCTAGGATTTTAATGGCTTATATTTAAGTCTTTTATCCAGTTTGAATTTATTTTGGTATATGGTGTAAGTCGGTGCTCAAGTTTCATTTTTTTGCATGTAGCTGTCCAGTTCTCCCAACACCATTTGTTGAAGATAGCCATGGTAATTTTTCATTGCAGCACTACCCACTTTTTAAAAAGTTTTTAAAGTAATGTGCAACCTTGTAAAAATTCTTTAAGCTATTGTTATCTTAAATAAATAATCTAAAATGACAAAGTTGCAAACTAAAGAAATTGAGCTATTATTTATATGATTTCTCCACTATGCTATTTAATTTGTCTTGGATTTAAATGAGACAATGCATGGAACTGTTTTCTAAAATGTAAAATGCTGTAAAAACAATGTCTTAGTATTACAAATTTCAAAATAGGAAATAGGATAGTAAAAGAAATAGCAACATTCTGGTCATGGCTCAGTAACTCGGTTGGAGCGTCATCACTTATACCAAAAGACTGTGGTTACATCCCATCCTGGTCAGGGCACATACCTAGGTTGCAGACTCCAGCTGGGTACTGGAGGTAACTGATGGATGTTTCTCTCTCTCATTGATATTTCTCTTTCTATTTCTCCCATCTCTCCCTCCCTCTTTTTCTCTCCCTCCTTCCTCTCTCTCTAAAAATTTTAAAAAATGTATCTTCAGGTGAGGATTAAAAACAAATAAACAAACAACATTCTGAAATGCCATAAAGTATGCTTCAAAATGAGTTTCAAAGTGTTAGTGTTTCCTATCCCTGAAGATGTGAAATAAATTTCAGATAAGAAAATTGGGAGTAATTATTAAAAGTAGTATATTTCTTTTATAATGATTTTTTATTGTTGTTGAAGTACAATTGTCTACATTTTCCCCCCACCACTCCCCCCAACCCCAGCCATCCCCACTTCCCACCCTCAATCTTGTCCCTCTTTGGTGTTGTCCATGTATCTTTCATACATGTTCCTAAAATCTCCTCCCCCTTTCCCCTCTGGTTACCGTCAGTTTATTCTTAATTTCACTGTCTCTGGTTATATTTTGCTTGCTTGTTTGTTTGGTTGATTAGGTTCCACTTATAGGTGACAGCATATGATTGAATTGATATATTTTAGAAAGTTAAAATATGATTTTCATGTGAGCTCTGAAATCATCTCAAGTTTTCTTTAATTATTTATTTACATAGTCACTCCTTCAGAAAATATTGATTGAGATCACAAAGTACTGGACATCATTTCAGAACCACAGGAAACAGAAATTCATGCCTTTTGATCTAACTAGCAGTCTAGAGGGGTTAGTTAACAGGGCCCAGTTTTAGTGTGATGATAATTGGGGTTTGTACAAGATTTTATGACACAGAAGGGGCACTTAATGGACAGGAGTTTTAGAAACAGGAGGGGTTAGACAGGATGTGAGGATAAGAGTGACACTGGCATGGGGACAAGGAATGCTGGGCACGTAGGAAGAGCATGGGCACTTGAGTAGTGGCTACACTAGGGTGTTGCTCAAGATGACAGTGAGTTGGTAGTGAAGGCCTTGTACACATTACTCAAGAGTTCGGATTTTATTATAAAAGCAATCACTTCTCCAGTTGTGTACAACTTAAATTGATCACTTTAAGTGGGAGAATGACATGGAAGTTTTGATGTGATCACTTTTGTTTTGAAGGGGAAGATGGGTTGGAGAAGGTTCTATTGAAGACTAGGAGTGAAGCAAGTTGGCTGTAATAACAAGCTAGGTAAAAGATGACAATAGCAATGATTATGGCAATCTAGCCATGATTTGGGTAGAAAAATCTTCAAATAAAATAAATTTTAATTAATTTTAAAATACAGACTAACATGTTACTTTGGGGAAAAATGTCACAATAATAAAGACTTAAAATTGTTACAAATTTAGGAATCCCTGTCATAAAGAATCAAAGCCACATACAGTTTCACAATCAACTAAAGGGTGAAAAGCAAATGCAGTAATTATTGTAGTTATAGCACATCAGCCCTGTAATTGATAGAACATTTATGATTTCAAAAAATTTCTGGATTGAACAAATAGATTGGTTTGCATATACATAGCCAAGTCTTCACCTTACTGAATATAACAATGAGACAGAGAGGTCCCGAGAGATTTTATTTTAGTTTAATTCTTTCATTAAAGATAAGAAAATTGAGACCTCTGAGCCTGAACCACTCCCAGGAGGTGACACACCTCAGTAATGGGAGTGCTGAGAGTGGAGTCTAGATGCTTGACCTTGAGGGTAGGATTCTTTCCATTCTATTCCAACAGCTTCCGAAGATATCCCTAAATTCATGGGATGTGAATAATTATTGAAAGGAGGGATTTTTAAAGTTCTTTGAAACAATAAAGAGCATTTTAAGATGTGGCTCAGTGGACTGAGTGCTGGCCAGCAAACCAAAAGTTTGCCAGCTCAATTCCCAGTCAGGGCACGTGCCTGGGCTGCAGGCCAGGTCCCCAGTTGTGGGTGTGCAAGAGGCAACCGATCAATGTATCTCACACAGATTGATGTTTCTCTCCCTCTTTCTCATTCTCTTCCCCTCTCTCTCAAAAAAACAAATAAATAAAATCTTTTAAAAAATAAAAGAAAAAGTTAGACACCTGCTCTGTTGTTAGAGGTTGGTCAATTTTCCAGAAAAAAATGACAACAAAATCTATGCCAATATAGGCAACTATTTTCACATATTCACTTTCCAAAAGTAATTATACTGTCTAGTCTGGCCTCATGGTACCAGTATCTAATAATATATGATGTATATTGTCTTACTTTCTTATTTAAAAATTGAAAACAGAAAGATCAGTTTATTCAGGATTAGCAAGAGACTTTATTTCATGAAGAAATGAAATATGAAGGGTCTGTGAACAATTAATCCATACTATTTATCAAAAGATAGAAAAATTACTAGGCAACATCTTTAAGTATTGGGAAAACAAAGAATCAGACCACCAATCTCATCATTTTTTACCAATACATTCCTGAATAAGCAATAACTCATGTATTTTTAAATCTGCTATGAGTTTTTAATAAGGTAAATTAGTTTGAAAATGTTCTTTATTTATGAGTTCTACATTTAATGTAAGAAAAATAGTTAATGCATCTATGGGTTTTTAGAAAGTGTACTTTGGATATTGGGAAAGTCTCCTCATCACCTACCTCTTAGCCACACCCCACTGAAAGAACAAACACATCTGCACGTAAAACCTGCATCCACTTGGCAAAATATTTCAGTCTTTAAAATCATTAATGGCAAATCTCAGTAAAAATTCATTTTTTAAGTAATCAATGTTGTTTAGAAATAAGGAACTCATATATATCATTGGTCATTTGTTATATGACCACATATATGTATTTTTGATTTAAATCTTGCCAAGTTTTTTTAAATGATAGAAACTCATGATTTTTTAAATAGATATTTTATTAATCAAATGCTTTGGCCAATTAACATATCCAAATATTTTTAAGGAACACTTTCAATACAAGATATAATTATAAAATCATGGGCCTGATTACTGACTAACATAATAAAATTTATACAGTAAAATGAGTGGTATACTTTAACGTAATGATATGAAGGTCTTTTCTAAGGTTGTTATAATGGCCAAAGACAGTTTTAAAAGTCTCCTTTGAGGCTACTTTCAGAGAAATAGCAATTCCATAATTTAATCATTCATTTGTTTTGGTCCCCAATAGCATTTCATCTTAATTATCCTTTATCTCACCAGTTCTGGCAATTTGGAAAAATAAAATTAATCTTTAAAGAATACTTGTCATATATGAAGGTAATCAAAGGCATGTTAATTCAGGTTCTTAAAGTAACTCTCAAATTTGAGCATTTTTACATTTTTAAGATGTGTAAATTGTAGCAACCACTTACATTATAGACATCCTCTGTATATGCTATAATTTTGGAATGATGAGATTTTTAAAATGACAGCAACTTATAACATTGAAGTAGGATTTTACAGTTCACAATGATCAGAATAATTTTATACTGAGTAACAAAACCCATATTAGACAATATATTGAAAGTTTATAACTGTTAGTGTTTAATTTATATATAATATTCAGTAACATGGACCCACCAAGTTGACAACTTTCTTGGAAGTATTTCTACATGAATCACTGTAGTCAAAATTGTACTTAAGTATCAGAAATAGCCTTTATTATAAAATGTTATTAAATAGCACCAATTAGAAATTGCAGCATATAGGTTTAATTTCTAAGTTATCTCCTAAACAAAATAAAAATTAGATACAGATTATTTTAAGATCACAGCCAGATAAACATTAATTATAAAACATTTCATGATTTTGCTTGGAAAAATTAGAAAGAAAAGCCAGTATTTTACTCTTTTACATTCTGTTCCCAAAGAAGATATATATGTTTACATGACTGAGACAGTGCATATCAGCAATGAGTTCCTTGTGGGAGATATATTTACTTCTGTATATATTACCTCAATAAGAACACAAATATAATAAAAGTGCTTTAAAGCAATCTGATTAGAGCAACATTTACATTAAGTACAAAATATACAGTAAAATGGAAACATTAAATAGGACTGTAGACTAACAATACCTTATTTAAAGGAACACATTTGCATGAATCTATTTTCACATTTATTTCATTATATTTGCCCTATCACCATTGTATGCTTTCATCACTGCAGTCTTTAGGATCTTTGTATATCTAAGTGTCCCCATCACTTTATCTGCAAAGGTAATTTAAAAGTATTACTTCCAGAGTAAAAAAGTAAGAAAATCCCATATTTCTATGTGCAGTTGTAGATAAAATCATTGTAGTTTTGAGGGAAATATCCCTTGATCATTATAAATTCATCATTGTAAAATGTATACATTTGTATTAAAGCAAATAGTATCTGTCTCTAAAATTAGTGTTTCCAATCTATCATTTAATTTTGGTTATAAAAGTAGATATAAAATCCTTGTTATTAATTAGAAAAGCATTATTTGAAAATACTTGCCAATAAACATTTCTAAATGTGGTTTGCCCATTTTAATAGTCTTCTTAATTAGAAGAGCTGGGGAATGAACAGAACAGCAATGTTTTTATGCTATAACAAAGACGTATTACAGTGTCCAAATCTCCAGACCTGGGAGCCAAATGTTCAGTCATGGCTCAGTTGCAAGCTGACAGAAGAGAAGATGCGTCCTACACTTGTACACAGTGGGGCAATGACAGCATCTGTCACACTTCTCCATACCGTCTGCACTGAAGGCAGAACCATTAGGCAGGTCTTTACAAAAGGCATTATAATCCTGGAATGGAGGAAGAGAGATGTAAGGATTATTGGTTGTTACCCAATAAGGCCACTGACTCTTGCACATTTGTGAGAAGATATATGGTGTAATTCACCTGAATTTGGTTGGATTTTTTAAACAAATAAATGAAAGTGACCCACATAGTGATAAGATGCACAGAAGATATATTGCTTTAAAAATAAACAGGCATATAGATGATAAACAGTAATCTTGTTTCCATTAGTGGCATGCTATCTGAATCAGTAAAAGAAAAAATAAATCAAATAGTAAATTTATCTGACCTCTGCCCCTAAATACTAACCTGCCTAACTCTTCGTATTTCCCTGTGGTTCTACTTCCTGGTAGCCTTTCCTCTTGCCGAATTTTATTTCCCTCCCCCTTGGGCCAGGCTTGGTCAGATACTTTGTGTGTGTCTGTGTGCTTCTAACACACTGAACCTTCTTGATCCTCAAATTTATCAACAGGTATCATAAATAGATGCTTATATATATATATATCTTTCCTACCAGAATGGAAGTTCTTTAGGTGAGAACATCCTTAACCCTTAGTAAGTGTTTGAGTGGAAGTGAATTTAGCATTTTGTTATGGTTTATATTTGTAATATTTTGTAATAACTATATACACTGGAAAGAGCTGTGTGTTATAGTTTAAAAGAGTCTTGCAATTATGTCAGAACTCTTAGGCAACAAAAACTAGACAGCTGAAATTATTTTTTTATATGCTTTTTCCATTTTTAAAATTTTATTGTTGTTCAAGTACAGTTGTCTGCCTTCCTCCACCCACCCTGACATACACCTTAAGATAACTGCATATTCTTTATTCCTTAGGCTGGTTTTCCTATAATCCTCTAAATAATGTTTTCGATTGTAATAGTGCTCTTTGAGCACACAAGTATTTGTGAATTCTCAGGCCTTGCTGGTAGGCTCAATAGATTTTTTATTATTACATGGATGGGCACCAGGAAGTAATGTTGAATTTTTTGTCTTTCTATTAAAATATGATATAAATAAAGGTCTGTTTTACTTAGTCCAAAGTGAAGGGAAGATCAGGCAATTGTCTGAGATATTTTTAGAATGCTGAATTATTTATATTGACTGTTTACTACAGATTATATTTATCTCATAGCATTTTATAAGCACCAAAGACGTGGAGCAATTTATTTATTTATTTATTTGTTTGTTTGTTTATTTATTTATTTATTTCCTCACATGAGGACATTTTTTATTTGCTTTTTGAGAAAAAGAGAGGGTGAGATGAAAGGTGAGGGAGAAATATTGATGAAAAAGAGAAGCACCAATTGGCTGCCTTCCATATGCACCTGGACCTGGGACCAAACCCCCAATTTAGGCATCAATCAAACCTGCAACACTTCAGTTATGGACAAAGGTTTGACCAACTGAGCCACACTGGCCAGGGCCTGTAGCAATCTTTAAAGAAAATTAATTACTAGGTGTTTCAGTGCTAAATAGTTAAATAGAAACCTGAATGATGGCAACTTCTGACTTTTTATTCTATTATGTTTCTCATTTTATGTGTGGCTTTGGGTAAATCACTACAAATCAAACTATAAACTGGAAATCTCACAGACTGGCTATCAGGAGTTACATTATTGTATACCACTGAAATATCCAAATGATGCTGTTATTATAATACATAATAAATATAACCATTCTGAAGTCAGAATAAGGAAAATAATTTTGACAAAATAGTCTCAAATTGACATACTATAAGACAAGTTTAGATCAGAAAATTTTAAACTACTTCACTCAGAATTAATTTTTCTTTCTTCCTTAAGCTAAGAATTTTCTATCCCCATAAACTTGTTAGATGTCCATGTCCTAAGAGGAAATAAACTTGGGGCCAAAGTGGATTTTCCATTTCAGCCGACTGCAATAGACAACAGTTGAGAACTTCAGTTGATAGGATATGGTGAAATGATTTTAATGTTATTTTCTTTAAGTTGTTATTCTCTCACTTTGCAACAAAAGATCCAATGATCCGTTGATATCGAACAAACAGTTTCCTCAACATCCCAAGCAGCACCCCTTCAGAAACTCCAGGCAATTTGGAATGACTACAAACTTGACTGAGGCTCAATGTGGTCAACCAAACGCTTCTTAAATAAATCTTATAAGATTATATATTCTTCCATTGAATAATAAAGCCCCTAGGATAAATACTTCCATTTAGTTTTTTTAATTAACTATAGTATCATGTAGGTTGCATTATCATAGCAATTTACTACATTAAAAATATTCTGGAAAATGAGACTGCTACTACTGCATTCCCATCAGTGCAACTAGGCATTTGAATTGTATCCCAGTTAAAATAATAGGTAAGGGAGATCTAGCCATACTTTTTTGGTGTGATTTAATTATGACCAATAACCAGTTGTTGGCAAATGGTAGCTATCTAGGTTTGACTGTGGAGTAAAATCAAATGAATTCCCTAGATCCTAATGACCTGTACTCTGGCCTAGGATATACAACACCAACAGACTGAGCTCAGGGTGTTTTTTTGTTGTTGTTGTTATTTGTTTGTTTAAAGAATTTAAAAATCAGATCCATTGTGATGATGTGATATGGTTGGAAGACCTACTACTTCATGTTTTCATAGCTTTAGTCACACATATGCTGCCAGAAAAGAAAAAAAAAGGGAAAGAAAGTTTACTCAAACAGACTTGCTCTTCTCTAAGGTCTCTCCTTGATCCATTCTTATGTCTTGTAGTCCACTGATGATAAATCTATTTTATAAAGTAATAAACTAATTTTAAGCATTTTTGCTTGAAGTTATTCCTCTACTTGCAATCACAGCTGCCTGAAGATAAATGTATTATGGTTAAATGTTGATGTCCCACAGGAATGCAATTTGAAAAATAGGCTCAAGTTAAATAATATATTTTATGTGGCTGAAAATTAAGTGGTTTGATGATTCGCCATTGAAAGCATTGCACAAAAACACCTATCATTCAAAGGACAGCCAGGTGGAGCGAAGCATCAATTGGTTAATTGTAATTTTCCTTATATCTTTCCACCACTTAAAAAATGAAAAGCTTTTGTTTTCGATTATTCCACAAGTGCTTTAGAAAAATCTAGCTTTGCTGACTATAAACAAGGCACTCTACACGAAGAGAGAGCCACAAAAAATGAAATTTACCTATAAAAAGTTGTGTATTTCATCTTACATGTTTAAACCTCAGTCATCTTCAAAGTACTTTCCATTTGATTTAATACATTTATCTAGACTTTTTCCCCCACTCCTCAAAATAGTTTTTAAATTTATTTTGATGCCTTTTAGTGCTTCTACTGTTTTTTGTTTCATGTCTTCCACATAGGCAAAACTTTTCCCTTTGAGGACTTTTTTCATCTGGAGAAACAAAAAAAGTTAGCTGGGGTGAGAGAGGGTGGGGTTTGAGGGTGGTGTCATGCCATTTTTAGTCAAAAACTGCTGAACACAGCCCAGTGTGAGCAGGCGTGTTCATAAATCACTCACCATGAAATGGGTAAACTGCATCGAGTCTTCAAAAATAATTCACTGAAGCCATGTACAACATCTCACAACAACACCAGCTGGCACACTGATATGAATGGGTCCCAAGAACACTCATGTAGCTGGAGAAGCCTGTATTACAAGGGGCCCATTCTCAAGAAGATAACAGCTGTTTCTCTGGGTTCCCTCTCTGGTGATACTGTCATTGGCATTCTGCTCAGAGATCACTCAGTTTTGTTTTACAGTTGTATTTCCAAATAGCTTCATAGCCAACATTTCACAATGTGCTCTATGGGTCACTCAGTTTTTCACATTTTGAGTGAGAAAACTAAAATAGAGGTTGGATGACTGGTTTTAGTTAACTAGAAATGCAAAATTTTATATGCTGACTTAGGTTATCTTTTAAAAATCCATGTGCTAATGCTAGAATATGAACTAACTTTACATCTGGCCTTTGTGGGTCTGCAGATATGGCAGTCTTTTGGCATTCCCATCATAGCTTAGTTGTTTACAATCTTTAGTGATCAAACTGAATTATGTTCATTGTTTATCCTTTAAATATTTGGTAATTTTTTATTTTCCTTTTTTAGACTTTTTTCCCTCTACATAACCTTCCCTGTGCCTCTCTCCTCCTCAACAGATTTAAGTGAGTTTTCTCAGCATCTACCTCTATATCCAGCCAGCTCTCCCTGGCTGTGAGGGAGCTGAGGCAGATCTTGCATCTCATTAATCCTTGGCCCAGTGCCCTGCATAAAGTAAGCACTCAATAAATGTTCTTGGTTGAACTAGACAGCTAGCTAACTGACTGAAGAAATTGATTCAGATGAAAAAGGGAAACGGAGAAAAGTTTTGTAACTTTTAACAAGGAACACACTATAAGTTAGGGTGCAGCAGTAGCATATAATGTGATTAGGAAAGACACGGAGGCATCTGGAGTTCTGTATTTCACCAGGACTACCCCAAAATTCAAGCTTGGTGACTGTTGCTGTACGATGGATGGACTCAATGTTCTTCTTCTAAGAATAAACTGGACGTCTTTTAATACAACATCAAACTTTGTGGTAAAATATGACATTTTCCTTAAAAATTTTTAATACTTAAAAACTACTCTCCAAAGCTTTATGATGTATTTTGAGTGTAAATAAAGTCACTCAAAACATCCTACCAATGTTCAGTAGCTTTCTATATTTATTTTCCCTTTAACTAGAGCTGTTCCTTATAGGTGAAAAAGTAATTTGGAGGCTTTCTCATTCTATTATCCTGAGGTTTGAGTTTTCATTCATTCTGTCTCATCTTTGCCATTTGCCCCTGGCACCACGGGAGCAGCCTTCCACAGCATTGCTTAACCACGTCTTACTTACATCCCTCTCCAGTGATACTGTCACTGGTATTCTGCTCAGAGAACACTCAGTTTTGTTTTACCCCAAGCACAGGTGGTGACTGAACAAAAGGTGATGAAGAAAAAATAAGAGCCCTGCCCAAAACCACAAGCACAAGTCATAACACAGTCCTGAGAGAGCAGCAGCCTGTGGCAAGAAATATGGCCTCCAGGTTCCACCTCCAGTCTGCTGGGCCTTAGCGTTCAAAGGAAAATCACACCCAGAACAGAGTGACATTCCTTCCTCTGTTGAAACTCCTAACCCCACCCATGATTCTCCCCCACCGCCCCCCAAACCCAAAACTGATTGTAAAGAAAACACCCTGCCTTGCTACTTTATCAGGAGCTGATGTGAGTTCTTCCCCCTGAAAGCCCTCCTGGCAGAAGGGGAGGGCAGAGGGCAAGTGTCAAAGAACACTCCTGTTTCAGAAAGCTGGTCCACCCCAGTGCCCCTTCTCACCAGATGTGCAGACAGGTGAGGGTGGCAAAGATAATTCCCGCAGCAAAGGCCAGGGGGATAGCCAGGAACACTGTCAGGAACTTGTAAATCACGTATTTGCTGATTTCAAAGAGGGCATGACTGCAGATCCACACTTTGTCAAAGGAGTGCGTAGACTCGGGCTCTGCGATCACATCCTCGAAGCCCACCTGCGGAGACAAGACTCGCGGATCCATCCCAACTGTCACCCAACCTGCCGCCCTGGGCACCAGGGGTCTCAGGGCGGGAGAAGCAAGACAGAAGGGTCTGTCTGGGGTTCCCCACTTTCTCTTAGGGTCACGGTTGGTCCACAGGAATTTGGCTACGAATTCCTGGTTTCGCAGGCGACCCCGCTGCTAGTACACTCAGGCTCCCGAACTTGGCCGGGCTGACCCGGCAGCGAGCGTGGGGGTTGGGGCAGGGGTAGAGGGGCACCCCGCATCCCCAGGACTGGCGAGGGTTTGGACTACCCTCGGCCCCGGGATTTGGCCCACCGCGGGCTTCACCTTGAGATTGGAGTTGAGCTGGTTCGGATCCCGATCTGGGCCGGAGTCCGCGAACTTCTCAGGGTCCGCGTAGTCGACGCAGCTCTGGCGGCTGTAGGAATCCTCATCCACGAAGAGCTGGACGTCCGCCTTCTCCGTCTCGAGCCCCATCGCGGCGTTAGGTGCCCGGCGCCTGCAGCCGCGGGCCCGCGCAGCGCGGCTCCCGGCCCGCTCCTCCTCCCCTTTCCGCCTCGCGGGCCCCGCCCCACCTCGCCGCCCCGCCTGCCCCGGCCTTCTGGGCGGTGGCTGCTTCCCGCTGCTCGCTCCCGCGGCGGGCTCCGGCTTCCGACCCGGGGAGACCCGAGCCCCGCCCGCCCGCCCGCGCGCCCGCCCCCGCCCCCTCGGCCGGGAACCGCCGGGAACCGGCGCGTCCTGACCTACACCGGCCGGCGGGCAGGTCTCGGGGACGGGCAGGAAGGCCTGGGCCACCTCGCTGGACGCCTAGAACTGGAAGCCTACGAGCTGGCAGGTTTTCCAGGGATGATGGACTTACTGGAGGGAGGCGGCTGGATGGTCAAGAGCGCGGGTACAGATTCAGAGGGTCCGTCTTCACCTTTTGGCTCTATTTTCAGTTCCCGTCTTATAAAAAGGGAGCAGTGGTACCTACGTCACAGAGCCTTCGCGTGAGAACTAAATAAATTTATGTAAAACTCATATATAGTCCCCAACACACAGCCCAGACTACGTTGTTGCAGTTGACTGTGAGATTAAGAAGCCGTAACACACCTGATTCCAGGCAACCGCAAGTGCCCGTGACTCCGCAAGCGAATCAGCTGTTCAGTTATCCCAGGGCTCACTGGGTGAGGATGTGGAGTTGGGTAGGTGAGCCCCCTGCTCCTAGAAGTTTGCGCCTTCAGACCAGAAAGGAAGGACTGTTTTTTTCCCCCTAGATTATAACTCAAGTTTCCTTTGCATCAGATCCCGTTAAAAAAATTCTTGGCAGTCGCATTTGCAACTGGTTTGTTGGAACCATATCAACAGCCCCCTAGTATAAAAGCCACACTGACCTCTCACTCAAAAGTTTCTGGGAGAGGTTTGAAAGTCCACAAAGTGTTTCATGTCTGGTGGACTTAGATGTGTGCTTGGAGAGGAAAAGGTACCGTGAAAATTGGGCAAAAGCTAAATAATGGCTCCTAGACTTGAGGTAGTACCCACAGCTTGTTCAGAGCCTAACACGTAGGAAGAATAAACACATTGTGTTGCTAAATGCACTGCATTTTCAACTTGCTGCATTTTCCAAATCCCCTTGTGTGAACTGGATTTAAAGAATGACATCTTCTGAAAGAAGAAGGCTATTTTTTAAACAATAACAATTATGAAAAAAACAGCATCTAAATTGGAAAAACATTTTGGAGCCAAAACTCATTATTTCTAATAATTAAGTAAAAAGTTTACCTGTTGCTACTGCTGTGAATGGATGGCAGTGTTGAAACACTGTATATATGTTACACTTGGATCTGATGTTTATCCCTCCACTCCTTTTTATTTTTCCTTTTAAATATATTTTATTGATTATGCTATTACAGTTGTCCTATTTCCTCCCTGCCCTGCACCATCTGTCCCACCCACCTCCTCCCCTTGGTTCATGTCCATGGGTGGTACATATAAGTTCTTTGGCTTCTACATTTCCTATACTATTCTCAACCTCCTCCTGTGTATTTGGTATCTGCCATTTATGCTTCTTATTCCCTGTACCTTTTATCCCATTCCCCACTCCATATCCCTGCCAATAACCCTCCATGTGATCTTTGTTTCTGTGATTCTGATTCTATTCTAGTTGTTTGCTTAGTTTGTTTTTGTTTTTTTAGGTTCAGTTGTTTAGGTTCAGTTGTGAGTTGTCATTTTACTGTTCATATTTTTGATCTTCTTCTTTTTCTTAGATAAGTTCCTTTAACATTTCATATAATAAGAGCTTGGAGATGATGAACTCCTTTAACTTGACCTTGTCTGGGCAGCACTTTATCTGCCCTTCCATTCTAAATGATAGCTTTGCTGGATAGAGTAATCTCGGATTTAAGTCCTTGCCTTCCATTACCGCGAATACTTCTTTTCCAGCCCGTTCTTGCCTGTAAGTTTTCTTTTGAGAAATCAGCTGACAGTCTTATCGGAACTCCTTTGTAGGTAACTGTCTTTTCTCTTGCTTTTTTAAAGATCCTCTCTTTATCTTTAATCTTGGGTAATGTAATTATGATGTGCCTTGGTGTGTTCCTCCATGAGTCCAACTTCTCTGAGCTTCCTAGACTTCCTGGAAGTCTATTTCCTTTGCCAGATTGGGAAGTTTTTCTTCATTATGTTTTTAAATAAGTTTTCATTTTTTTTGCTCTTCTCCTTCTGGCACACTTAGGATTCAGATGTTGGAATGTTTCAAGTTGTCCTGGAGGTTCCTAAGTTTTGCACTTTTTTGATTTCTAGTTTCTTCACTCTCTTCTGGTTAAATGTTTATTTCTTCCTTCTGGTCCAAATCATTGATTTGAGTCCTGGTTTCCTTCCCTTCACTGTTGGTTCCCTGTATATTTTTCTTTATTTCACTTTGCATATTTTGTTTATCAAAGTGAATAAAAGACCTTAAGGAAAATTGTAATATCAATTACCAGGAAAAGAAGTGAGTTTACAGCTACCTAACATTTTGTAAAAATTTATTTATTTTTAATTATAAGCTTGGATTTTAAGATGTCTCATCCAAAGAAGAAAGTCATTCCTGAGTGCTTGAGTGGACTTAAGCAGTGGCTGAAAAAATCTGGCATTGGGACTTCTTTCCTTAATGTTTTTTGCCTTTTGACCACATTTACATTTCTAGTGGGATTACTAAGACATTTACAATCATTTTCACAAGTAATTGCTTCCCCATGCCTCACAGGCAGTAGGCTAGGACACCAAAAAGAAGGTGAAATTAACATGGTCTTAAGTGATGGTTTAGATTGTAGATTTATTTATAAAATTATAGCTAGCTATGAAAAAGTGTCTCTAAAACCTAATTTAGAAGAAACCTATCTAGGTTTGTTGCATGTAGCATAGTCTATGTGAAGTTATTTTGATGATTTTTTGTCCATTTTACCATTTTAATACATGAGATTTTTAGAGGAGCTATCAAAATGATCTTGCTTATTCTAAATGCTTAGAAAATATTAGCTATTGATGTTCTCAAGGAGTTTAAACCAGTGATTCCACAGCAAAGATAATAGTCCTCTTCAGGACTGTCCCCACCAACTGGAGGGGAGATCTACCAGGAAAGGGAAAAGAGAGGAGGTGGGTTGGAGCTACATGGCTGAGCATATGCTAGTATCTCCCAGGCCACAAGCTTACTCTCCAAATAAGCTTTAATTTTTTTAAAGTTGCTCAATGACCAAAGGAATGAAAAAAATTATAATAAATAATTCTTCTGGCTGTTTTCATAGATTCTGACAAGAGTTTACAGATGGTATATTAGTATGTTTGAAGATTAACAATTTGATAATAGATTAGTATTTGTGAGTAAGATAGTTTGTAATTATTTTGTTCCTTCCTCTTCTCAGCAGAGTGTCTAAGAAAAAGGGATATTTTTCTGGTTCATTGAATATTGTATGTGAATGCTTTTATGCATAAAAATATCTAATTTTTTACCCCAGCCATATGGCTCAGTTGGTTGGAACATTATTCTGTGCACAGGAAGGTTGCTGGTTCAATTCCCGGTGATGGCATATACCTATGTTATGCGTTCATCCCCCACTGGGGCACATACTGCAGGCAACTGATCAGTGTTTCTTACATCAGTGTTTCTCTCTCTTCTTCTCTCCTATCTTCTGTCTGTAAAATCAGTGAAAACGTGTCCTCTGTTGAGGATTAAAAAATATGTATATCTAATTTTTCTCTTTCTTTTCAAATTACAAATGTGTCATTTCTTTTCCCTGTATAGTTTACATACAATTTTAGGCAAGATTCGTTTTGCACATTGCTTTGTGAAAATTGGTTATTAATGCCAATAACAATGACTTCTTGATTTCACCATTACAATCTACTAACATTTAAAGTGCTAGGATTAAACAGGATTTCTCAGCCTTGGCACTATTGCTATTTTGGACCAGACTGTTCTTTGCTGTGGGGAGCTGTCCTGTGCAGGAAGTTTAGTAGCATCCCTGGCTTCTACCAACTCGATGCCAATAGCACTTCCCAGTCATGACAATGAAAAACGTTTCCAGACATTGCCAGATGTTCTTTTGGGGCCAAAATCACCTTTCCCTTCCTTTATTGGGTTGAAAACCATTGTGTAAGACATTGTTGAAACAGTTCTTCATGTGAATGGGGAATATCAGGGTACAGCTATGTATTTACAAAGCCATGCTGAAATCTCAGAATTGTAATACCAATTTGTTAGAAAGTCCAGGGATTTTTCAAATTAAGCTGAAAGATGTTTGTTTGTCATGTAGTAATTTTAGAAGAACCAATTACCATCAATTAATTGCTTCTTCTCAATACAGTGTTGGTTTTATTTGAGGGGTATGTAGACAATACTAAACTTTTGTGAAATTGTGCCAGAGAGTTTAATGGCGCTTAATGGCAGCTTGTTTATTTTTTTCTTATCTACCACTTGTCTTTTTGTCCACATTTTTGGTAAAATTAGCCTTGTACCAGTGAAACAGTGAATTTTTAGTTTAATGTTAATGCACAGTAGCTTTTTGTAATTGGTGCCAGTTTAATCCTCTGGATGTTTCAAATAGCATTTCCTGTGGCCAAAAACCTCTTTTCATGAACAAAAATTTTCAGAATTAACTGTTTTTTGGGAGTACTTTGCTGTTAAAAATAGTTGGGGAAGAAGGTACATCCTTGAAAAGTCTATATTCATGATTAGAGCTGAAAGGATGCATCATTTCATATTTGAAACAATATATGACATTTAATTTTATATTTATTTTATTTTGTTTTCCATAAGTAAAAGATATTCCGGTTTCCTCTTTTGAATATCCCATTGGTTTCTGTAATACTGTATATATAAATAAAATATCTCCCTAAGACTTTGATGTTTTATCTTTGTAGAATATGAAATAGGCACTAATTAACTTCTGGTGAGCACTCACTTTCAATTAAACTCTTAACAAGTACAAATTTCTATTTTTTAAAAGATTTTATTTTATTTTTAGAGAGGGAAGGAGAAAGAGAGAAATAGTAATGTGTTGTAGTGGCCTGCCCAGGAGGGGAGCTAGCCAGTGAATCAGTAAGATGAATGT